TTGAGACCTTGGCGTGCCAATTCTCTGGCATACTCCTTCCCAATGCCATCTGTGGCGCCGGTTATCACTAAAAAGAGAAAGGACAAAATATTTAAGTCGAGCAGGGGAAAAATCAAGCGATAATAAAGCAAGGCAAAGTAATAATAATAGTTTAACTTATTTCCAATCTTTCATTTCACATGGCTTTGTCAAAAATCGTTATATTAATTAGACCAATGCATATTGTATACTAATATTTGCATTGTATTTTTTTTCTTTTTTATTTTGTTCCATCTGGTTTTAAAATTGTCAATAATAATAACAATATTGACTGCTAAAATATATAACAAAAATCTCTCATGACTTCCAAAGTTCTTAACATTGCTAAATCTAAAATAGTTTTCATTAGACATATTATTTTGGTCAGACATTATTTTGTAATTTTCTTAAGATCAAATATTTTGTAAATTTATATCTAAGCACATTCAATTTCAAATGCTGAGTTGTCGCAGGTAATTCAACTACTTAACACACCCTTGCTAATTATTTGTTTGGTTGGGCCTTTTTGGCATGCAGTAGTTGCTACTGCCGAGCCCAAAACCAATACAAATCCAAATACCAATAAGAAAACAAGTGCGCTTTAGTCAGCTGTTCCCGACTACGATATACCCTGTACCCAACACCGAGAAATTTAAAGTTATTTTTGTAAAAAAAATTAGCCCGATCTTCAGGGAATTTTCAGAGTCGAAATATGGCATTAAAATAAACAAATCAAAGCTTAAGCTTGTAACTTTTAAAACGAATTTTTACTAATTTAAGGGGAAAGGTATTCAAAGACGCTTGCACCGAATGTGATGTATCTAGCTCTTATAACTGGAAATAAGTTAAATTTCCCAGTTTATAGATCGATACTCATGTTTACTTATCGTTGATTAAAAGTAAGCTTGTTCTGGGTTCAAATATGACGTCTCTAGGTCCAACAGTGTTTGAGATCAAACAGGTCATAGAGCGTTCATACAGAATGGCGGAAAGATAGACAGACATGGGTAATATAAAATAATGTATTTAGGCTGATCAGAAATTTGTTTACTATATAATAATGAGCTCCGCCTGCCTGTTTTATACGCAGGCACAAGCCATTATACCCTTCTTTAAAAAAATGTACAGGGTGTGCAAAAAAGATACTTGGTATGTTTTTGTTGTACATGCTGCGGCTATTGGTGCTGCTGTTGCAATGAGTCAATGCAACAGAGTTGCCTCTACGACTGCGCAACTGGCCAACAGGCGGCATTTGTTGGCACTGTTAAACTAGAAGTTGTTGTTGTTGTTGTATTTGTTGTTGCTGCTGCTGTTGGCCACTCTGGTTGCCAAATATTTGTGCAGCGGAAACATTGGCAACGAACGGCAGCAGCGGCTGTTTATGCATTGCTTGCTAAACGCGACAACAAGTTTGTAACAGTATTTGCAACTAATAAATTAATTGAAAAACTTAAATTGGCAAATAATATTCCACTGTGCTCAAGGTCAAAAATACTTGAGTATATTAAAATGAGTAGACACAAAAAGCCGACTGTAAAAATGTCAACACGAACGCTGCAAAGCAATTTGTTGCTATTCTTACAATAAACTATTGCTTTATTTTCTTTTTAAAACCGTGCCAAATGTGAGAAAAAAGTTTCCGGCAAATCTGGTTTTGGTTTCGGTTTCGTTAGGCGGGTTGAATGACTCTGTGTGCTCTATAAAAAAGCACAAACAAACAGAGAACGTAAACACTGGAACAGCTGTTCGATATGCCGCTCTTATCATGGAAATACATGTAAAACTATAGCACATGTTACATTTTGATAAGAAATTGTTATCTGATTGTCATGTTTAGCCTTTGGACCTAGGAAACATAAATTGTTTTGGGCATTGAAAAACAATTTCCTTAATAGCTTGGATGGTCACGATATATCTAAATAATACAATGAACCATGAAAATTAGTGGGTTTTTTTTCTTTCGAATAAATGCCTTTGAGCATGCAATTTACATAATTTAAGCAGATTTTATTTTCTATATAATTGGATAGAGTGCACATGAATATGAATAGATCGCATCTCATGTAATAGGCAATGTTATTAATGATTGAAATTTGCAATTATTTGCTCATTATTGGAAATTCTTTTCGTACTCAGTATTCATAAAATGTGAAAATCCACAAATATGGTTAAAAATATTAGTATGTGTTTGGCAAAAAAAACACATAAAATCCTCTTTCAGAGCTAATTTTATTAAACTTGGTTTGTAGTTTCTAATCGATATTATAAAATATATATCAATATTGTTTAGTTTGCCTGTTTTTACGCTCTTCATTTAGATTGAAAAACCTTTTCTTATTTAAATTTTTTTGTATTTGTTTTTTAAGAAAGGAAGTATTATATTATGACATCCTCTTGTTAATTGATAAAAACGAACTATACATATTTTCAAGACTTTTATTATGAAATTGATTTATATTATTAAAATATATTTTAAGCAAGTTTGAGAAAGGTTTTGAAATAACAAGAATTATATAATAAATAAATAATGTGAGTTGGTGACAATAAAACTTCCTTTTTACAGACCTAATATTAGATATCCGGGCACTTAATTTGATTAGGTTTATTAAAAAGTTCGTTGTTTAAAGAAAATTATTTCTAAAACAACGATATTTTATTTTTACAAGGCCAACAAATGAAATATATATTTTGAAATATTCAGAGGTTAATAAAGTTCAAACACAATAATATATATATGCAAATGTTTTAGGCCTGTTTTTGTGTTGTGCTTTTATCGAGTGAATGCGAAAATGTTGCGAATTATGTAAATATATTTTTTACGAATGTGTGTAAATGGCGCGAGGCAGCCGAAAAATAACTTACCTGCCCATTTGCCAAATTTATCCAGCAAGCTCTGCGGCAACTGCGGCTGAAAGTACGGCTCCAGCAAGGCTTTGATAATACTGATCAAAGATTTGAAATTGTCGTAGAGATAGGCGCCAATCGCCAAAGTGCCCACCAAATAAATGGCCAGGGAAACTAGCTGCCAAATGAACGCCATGCGCAGCAGTGTATAAATGCTCAGTTCCAGCGCCGGCTGCATAATGGCAGATAGTGTCGTTATATGGTATATTTCACAAAAAAACGTATATGTACTATATGCAAAGAGTGTACAATTTGATAAGCGACAGCTGAGTGGCGTCAATTTTTATATAATTGAGCTCAAACTTATCAGCATGCTAAGCATATGTATTGGAGCACAGTTTTCTATTTGAATTTTATTGAATTTCAATTAAAGCAAATATATTTTAGTTGTTCGAGCGACGCGTGCGTTTCGGGTCTTGGCACAAGTAGCGGCTCCGAGCGTCAATCACGCACTAAAGCACCGAAACGGCAACTGAAGTCGAGTTACAGGCCCCGCAGAGCTCACGACCACAACAAATCGAGCCTCGCTTACATATTATATATATATATTTTTCGGGTTTCTTATAAGCTGCAATTGTCTCTTTGGTTGCGAGCATGAACAACACTGCAGATACAGATACAAAAACATGTATCTTTCAGTGCGCCTGCCGCTCTTTCAGTTGCTTTTTTTTATAGTTTTTCATAGTTTGTAGCTTCATTACTTCATAAACATCAACTTTAGCGTTTGCTGTCGGTGGGAAGATTACAAAATCTGCCGCCAAATTATGAGACCTTTAATTATCGTTGAACCATTGTCAGAGATTTTGGCCACTCTCTTTGCCGGATAAAAAGTGTGAGCGTTAAATTGGTTGACATTTTGTAGGCTGATAATGACCCCCAAGTGCATAATTAGCCTACACTTACTTGGACTGGGACTGGGACTGTCAGAGGGAAAGGGTCTCTTGACTAATTGAAAACAATTAAGCAAAAGATGCAAAAATTGTTGGCGACATGCAATTACCTCAACATGGGAGCTCTGTTAATCATAAATAATTAACAATTGTCAAAGTGTGAATAAATAATATTGCTTATGACTTTAGCTGGAGTTGATAAAGTTATTTCCTTGTAAAAATTAAGTAACGTAATTGTTGTAAGAGAAAACTTTTATTTTTTAAAACTTTTTGCCCGTAAGGGAATAATATTTTCTGAGAAAAACAAATAATGCATATGGATGTGTCCATCAAAATGGAAATGGAAAACAGTTGGAGTATAGTTGGGATATATAAAATTCAAAATGTGTTTTATCGATTTTGGAAAATTGACCAAAAAAGCTTTTTAGGCGTCTAAGCTAAAAATACTTAACTGATTTTGGAAAATGCAGTGATAAACGGAGGCATTATTTTTAGAATATTATAAATCCGGAAAATTGTCACGGATACTGTATTCCAACATAATAGTTGGACACGTTTCGCAAATAGAAGGCTTCTAAAGAGCGACGTATTTTAATCACTTTCTATTCAGAATCAACAAACAATAAGCACACCTCAAATACGAAATGCTAGATAAACAAAACATTTCAAAGTGATTTTGACTGCACTTTTGATGAGACAACAAAAATGTAAATATGCTTTTAAAATTGACTGCAAAATCTATTTGAATGACTTTTCATAAAAAAAATGCTGGCATTATAAATAAGGAAATGAATATGACAGGGCTTAGCGAGAAATGTTCGAGTATTCTGGCACGCTATATTCCGGCGCATGTGTGTTTGACTAGAGAACTTTTACAGAGGTTTTAAAAACCAAATATAAATTCAATTAATAAATAAAATGATAAATTTAGATATATCAGTAAGTGCAACTTAAAGGCATACCTGTCAAATGCGGCAGGGAAAGTGTGTTGCAACCGTGTCAGTTCACAATAAAAGACTGAAAAGAACTCTCATCCAATTTATGTACATTGGAGTTAAAGTATTGATTTTGACAAAAGAAACTGTTGAGAAAGCTTTGCAATCGCTTAAAGCTCTAAGCACAATGCCAAGACATGTTTGGCAGAGACACAAACCAATACACGTTGAACAGAGACACTAACCATAAAAATTACTGTTGCCACCTAGCAGTATGCAATGCTTTTATTTATTTTTCTTCTTGTCGGCCATTACTGTAAAGAATAATTGAGCCAAAGTCAAGCGCAATCTCCACGGAATAGCGGTCATTACCGCATTCTGTACATGATGCCAGATATAGCCAGGAGTTTCGTCCACACCATCCCTTAGCTGGGCCACAGCGCTGCGCGCATAAGTTTCGGCTGTGGGTATGAAGAGACCGCCCTGCATTATGCGTTTGGAGTAGTTGTTTATCTTGGTGACCACAAAGTTGGGCGACAGCAGCTGCACATGAATGCCAAACTGAGCCGCCTCCCACTGCAGCGCCAGCGTAAAGCTGCGCGTGTATGCCTTAGAAGCAGCATAGAGAGCAGCAAATGGCACGGGCTGCAGTTCCGTGCCGGAGCTGACGTTGACAATCGCACCTTTGGTCTTAGAGGCGCGCAGGCTCTGGAAGAAATAACGCGAGAGCTGCGAGACGGCCATCACATTGGTTTCGACTAGCTGCTGCGTTTGCTCCTGGCTGCATTTGCAGATGGGACCTGGCAGGCCCAAGCCCACATTATTAACTGGGGGCGGGTAGAGAAACGTTAGTGTTTGTGTGTATGTGTGTGCGAGCAGGTCAGCTACTCACCTAGTATGGTCACCGGCAGATCAGCCAGCTCGCGCTCTTGTGCAAGTAGGCCTGAGCACCATGCGTGAAATCCGCCACGACTATCTTAGTCTGTACTTTGCATTCCGTTGCTGAAAAGGAGTCGATTAGATAGTGAACAGTTAAGTGGCATGCCAGGCATTGATACGCACCGATTTCCTCAGCTACTGCCTTGAGCTTCTCCTCGTTCCGGGCTATCAGCACAACATTGATGCCCTCTCGTGCCAGCTCCTTGGCGTAGGCCTTGCCAATGCCATCGCTGCTGCCCGTAATTGCCGCCCAGCTACCAAAACGCTCCTTCAGTGAGAGTCTTTCCTTTGGATTGCCCGCCAGACGCAACTTTAGCAATCGGTAAGGTGTTCTCAGCTGCTCGTAGAGATAACAAGCGAGTGCATAAAATCCCACAATGCTTAGAAATGTCGATAAAGCGGCTAACATTATGTCTGATTTCCAATTGATATGGGGGCTCTGGTACGTTGGACTCGCGAACACGGACTGTGTTCGACACTGGAAACTCGGCTGGTCTTGGGCTGTGCTATATGTAATCGTTTAGTTAAGGTTTTGTTCGGAATACTAATGATGGCATTAAAAAGTCAAAATAAAATCGAGAAGTGCGATAAGTCTATTACAAATTCCGACACTGCCAAATTTGGGAGCTACGAGTATTTCTTTATCTTTTTTCACAGCTAACGGTTCGTCACATAATAAATATAATATAATGGTTCGTTTTTGATTGTTCGGTAATTTTAATAGCTATATATATTGTTATGTTGTCGCATTTATTGAGCTGACTATGGGCTTCTTTGGGATTGATGGGTGCATTGTACTAGTTATTAGTATGGTATATGCAGTTGGCAAAGCCATTTCGCAATGGAACTGCTTTGAGCTGCATTTGGCTATAGCCGAGGCTATTTCATAATATAATAATCCTTGATTGAATTTGGATCAGAATATTGGTATGTAAAATATTAAAAGGAATTATGGGAAGAGCCAAAACTCAGCGAAATGTTTGTGCAAGAATTTTTGAGTTAATTTATGGTATATTCATGGATCGATGCCATTTAAGGGGTTCTACGAAAATGTATAATGCTAAAATAATTATGCATTAAACTGTTTGTCCAGACTGACTGACTGACTGACTTATTGGTAATCAACGCACGGCACAAAGCCGTAAGAGCTGGGAAGTTGCAGTTGCCGTATGTGATGGACCTTATACACGTTCTAAGTCCTTGCCGGCCCAGTCAGTTTTAATAATCTCTTTTATGTATAAAGAAAGAAGATGTCCATCAATTTTATAGCCGTAGTATTTCGACAGTATTTGTCGGCTGCTTTTGAAACAGAGAGATATATATTATCTGCGCTATGCTTTCTATTTTAAGGGATAATTCCTGGCTTGGGTCCGTATATAACGAGATCTCTTTTATGTTCTAACTTAAACTTAACTAATCCAATGAGTTAAGCTTTAATTTCAGGCACAATCTACGCACTTTTACCCAAATGACATCATGGCCTCTCCTTTGGTTTTTGGCTTGTTCCCTGTCTTTGGCAGCGAAATGCACTTACACATATCACAATTACTGGCATGAGCGCATACTTAGCGCATACATTCATAAATTAGACAGCCAAAATGGGATTTTACAAAACGCTAAGTACACACCAACACACACACACACACGCGTGTGTATATTCTATATATTCAACCAGGCACTGGCCTAAGAAAATCAGGAAACGGAAATGTGCGACGCGGCGCTGTGAATCGAACATGAAGTACGCCGAGTACAAGGACAAGACATGGGTTATATATCAATACGAGCAACGGTTACCGCCTGGCCAGCCCCGTCGACACTCCCTGTCGATAGGGGAGAATTGGAAACTGGGGAATTTGCAGCTAAACGAAAAATATGGGCTGACATTTTTCGTTGTCGCCGCAAAAACCGCATTTATTCAAGTGTCAAATAAATTCATAGTTTTTCCGCAAACGCAGCCCCGCCTCACCGCCCCCGTCCTACAGCTGAGGGGGCGTCAACAGCGACGACGGCGTCGGCCAACTAATTAAGTCAAATGGTTGGCTGTGTGTGCCAAAAAAAATAAAACAAGTCTAGAAATAAAAGCTAAAAACCAGCTAAAACCAAAAATCCATTCGATGGGCGCAGCCTGAGCGTATGCAATGGTTTTCGAAGCGGCGCCTAAAAGCATGCAAAATGTATTTGGCAACTTGTGCTAATCACATTTAATTGCTTTTTAAGCGCACTTCGCTGGCAGTTTCAGCTAATTAATGTGACTCATACGCAACGTGGTACAATGCCCGTTAATAAACTTAAAGTCGGCAGCTCAGCTGCAACGCGACTGCAGCTTAAATAACCAGTAACAAAAAGTGAACAAAAATACTGCAGAGGGTGGCGACAAGCTCCACTCCCCACCCACACACACACTAACAAACACACACATATGTATAGCCATGCATATGCCAAGATAAAAGCACTTGCCAAGTATCAGTTAAAGAGTGGGTAAAGTGGAACTAGCGCAGTCATTGTCAAAAAAGTCAAACAATTTGAATTATGTTTTGCAATTTGTACATCCGCTTCTGGCTTCAAATCGCCCACACACTCCCATATCCTCGCTCCTTCTTCCATGCTTGGCTTAGACGCTCTCTTTTACTTGTTATATATGAGGGAAATTATTGTTTGCTTTGTTGCCGACGCCGCTGGCAGCCTTTATTATACGATATATATGCGCTATATGCATGAGCATTCCCAGGCAATGCTCATTTTTATAACATTTTATTGTGGTTATTATTGCATTTGCTGACAAAAACCGCAAAATGAACTCATTGCGAAGTGTCGCAAATCGCATTCGCCACATTTTCTTCGAATTTCCGACAGCAAAGTTTTCTGCGTGAAAAGCTGTTTTTTAAAACATGTTGTCAGTACCCCACTCGAATCACAATAGAATAAAATGAAAATTATAATAAAAGTTTATGTTGTAATTCTAATTATAATTATTATAAAAGGTATGTTTCTGTGTAATTAATAAAAAAGTGAAAAATAATTAAAAAGAAAAGTATCTGACTAATTAAGTACTGGTAAAATACAATATTGTGCATTTCAACAGAGAAGCTCTTCAAATTTTTCATCAGCATCTTCTTGTTAGTTCTTTGCTACCTTCATTATATTTTACATTTCAGATTATATTTTTCAATTAAGTCATAACAACATCTATTCTACATTGTTCTCACTGTTCATATGCCCTTCTTAGTCAGATGTTCCTCATACTCTTTATATTCTTCTCCAATACTTGAACTTCTCCATATTCATACACTTTTAGGTCGAGAATCTTTGCAAACATATCCAAAACCAATCTGATCTTTCCATTTCTACACAAAAGTAGATTCATCAAAGCTGCCAAAATGGTTGAAATGGTTGAGAATGTGTTTTTTAAAACACAGTTGATTATCGAATTACAGCCAAAACAAGGAACTCTCCTCCTGTCTCTTCACCTTTCTCTCCCTCCGGAATGATGTAAATTAATTGCTTTGGCATTTTTAGCGCTCTAATCTCTGACATATCGTTAAAGCGCATTTGGCATTGTTGACTGGGTTACTTAAGGATGTTTATGTCAGGCACTGAATTTTAAGTAGTCTAAAGGAGGCTGACAACAACGTGCCGCATAAAAAAAGACAGAAAATACACCAAATAAAATAAAAGAGTTGTCAAGTGAATTCGTGATGCGACAGGCCAACAGGAGCAAGCAAGTCAGCATTCTCTTTTCAAATGTGGTCAACTAGAGGATACCCTGTTTGCAGTTTTAAGGTACGCAGAAGTTTAATGTGTGGGAAAATTCGCATACTATAATAATCATCGACGTTATCGCTTTCCTTTAGTTTTCTAATCTGCCAGGAAAGCATTTCTTGGGGATGACCTCTCTCCAATTCCCCCTTTTGATTGTACCACCAAAGCTGCAGGCCTTACCAACATTTTCGATGGTTGGCTTCAGGGTTGGAACTAATGCTTTTTGACCTTTGTTTCCCACAATTAAAGACCACGGTTCGAGCTCGAGCTTTGATTTGCCACATTTATAAAATTTTCAACAAAACATTAACTTTCAAAAGACAATATTTATATCATACTTATATATATAATTATTTATTAAAAAAAATCGTTCAGTCAAGTAGCATAACATAGTATTTCTAATGAACTTCTATGGTTCGGTCCGGCCCTGACCACAAACCCCGAATATTATATGACACCCTTTTCACCCTTTCGATACGGGGTATAACTACTTTGAATGCTGGCAAGTGGGCGGCATATTCTGGCGAGATTTCACCCCGTAAATGGCGCATGAAAATTAGCAAGTTGTCTGTCTGCGGCTGCCATTATGCGGCACACTTTGAATGGCAGCTGCGAGTTGAATTTCCGTCTTCATTTTTTGCTCGGCCTCAACATTGGTTAAAGGCTTAAACGTTTTATGCCGGAGTTAATTAGCAGTTTGTACGTTATCGCTGTGTATAAATGTCCAGCTGTAAAGTGAACCCAAAAACTTTGACCATAAAACTGCAATCAGTGGTAAGTTATGTGGCCAGAAATCACAGAAGCGGGCACAACACATATGGCTAGGTAGCAGGACGACACCTGTTAGACCTGCAGGCAGCATGCGACTGCGATACTCAGTGAGAGTGAGCTCCATAAAAAATGACTAACAACGCGACAGGGCAGGCACAGCAGAGCGATTAGGCCAACAACTGCGGGGGAGGGAGGAGCAGCAGGCAACGGGCAGCCGCTGCCTTTGCCTTTGCCTCTGCATCGCAAGTGTCGTTTTGAAAAATTCAAATCTCGTTGCCAATAAAAGCCAATAAAACTCGTAAAATAACTCAAACAAAAAAGTGCTGCTGAGGGGATGCTGCTGCTGCTGCTCGTTCAAGTGTTTTTGTGTCGCAATGTTGCGGCTTGGCCATAACCCCGGTCGAGCATTGGTAATGGATCTATCGAGGAACGTTGACTCCTGATACAAGCATGTCCAAAGTGCAACTGTGCTATATGAGTGTGTGTGTGTGTGCGCCATTTAAGTTGCCATCTATTTAACTGCCGGCTGCAATTCGCTCCAAACTGTGCGCTAGCCTCAGACACAACTCCTTCGGGGTTGTATTTATAGCCAAGTCAGCGTATGCGTGCTGTAAATAGCGCAGGTAATGAATATATCTGGCGTCTACACCTGTTTCAAATATGTCCTCAGCAAATGTGGCACTGCCTGAACTGAAGTCTTAGTGGGTAAGGCCTAAGCTGTGTGCTTCAGAAGAAGAAGCGATAAAACGGAGAACGTGCCAGGAGGTATTTTTAAATAAATCATTTAACATCAAAGAAATTATTAGAGTAAAAAAACTTTTGAATACAATACGATTTGTTCATGTTTCTGGCTTTAGATTGCGTTTATCTTACGTTCTTTTGCCGGGAGAAAGTTTAGCGCATTTAATTGCTTGTGTTACTCGAAATATTTCATTTATTATTATATTTTGATGGTAGCTCTCTAGTAAAAGGGATACTTTTGAAATACAATATTAGAAGAATAGCGA